ACCTTAGTCCTCAAGGAGATATCCTAGCTCCTCAGCACTTGAAATAGTTCCTTCGCAGTTGACTTTCCCAATGCTACATGTCGTCTAATGTCCTGACTAATGTCTTGTCTAATGTCTTGTGTAATATATTACGACAATTGAGCTTGATGTCCCCTGCGGCTATGGTCCAGAGCCCACAGGTTCATTTACTCAGTCCTTCTGGGTAGCTGGCTGTGACCGAGAATTGACTACAATCTTGCCCCTTGTCAACTCTACTATACGCATGGGAATTCTTACAGAATATACAAAGACACTTGTAGAACCATCGTCTGCCAACCCTGTACATGGTCTTGGATAAACTCCCTGGTGCATAGACATATTTACTAGTTCAGCCTGTCCACCAATCTATTGACCCTTACACCCATGTTTACCTTCACTGACAACACAGCACTGTATGTGCAAAAGGGTTCATCTTTCTTGTCTGCACCTCCCATGTATCTCTCTATGTCTTTCTCTTCCTCAGTGCTGCCATGTTGATCACTCACATTTGGTACACTGCCCTTCTCTTATCCATACTTATCTCTACCTATATAACAGTGTCCCCGCCCCTCCCCTCCCAACCCTGGTAACCAACAAAAAAAATTTCCTTCCATATAGAAGCCTTTCATTGACTTTTACAGTAATGGACTAATAAAATATTTGTCCTTCTGTGATTGACTTATTTCACTCAGCATAATGTCCTCCAAGTTCACTCATGTTATGTGCTATTTTGCAGATTCTACATTATTCTTTAGGGTTGCATAGTATTCCATTGTGTGTATGTACCATAGTTTGATTATCCATTTCTCAGTTGATGGACACCTAGGTTGTTTCCATCTTTTTGCTATTGTAAATAGTGCTTTGATGTACATGGGTGTGCACATGTCTGTTCTTGTCATGCCTCTCACTTCTTTAGGATATGTACCTAGTAATGCAATGACTTGGTCAAATGGTATTTCTAATTCCAGCTCTTTGAGGAATTGCCACACTGCTTTCCACACTGGTTGTACCCTTTTACAGTCCCACAAGCAGTGTATGAGAGTCCCAATCTCTCCACATCCTCACCAGCATTTGTTATTTTCTGTCTTGTTGAACTTTGCTACTAGTGCTGGGGCAAGATGCTATCTCATTGTTGTTTGATTTGCATCTCTCTGATAGCTAATGATCCTGAACATTTTTTCATATGTTTGTTGGCTTCTTGAATATCCTCCTTGGTGAAGTGTCTATTCTTCTGCCCAGTTTTTAATTTATAATTTGTCTATTTGTTAATGAGGTATTGGAGTTTTCTATAAATTCTAGAGATAAGTCCCTTGTAATATAAATCATTACCAATTTTTTTTTTCCCCAATCTGTAGGTTCTCTTTTGACTCTTTTGGAGAAGTCTTTGGAAGCAAATAAAAATTTAATTTTTAGAAAGTCTCATTCATCTTGTTTTTCTTCTGCTCTTTGTGCATTTTGGGTTAGGCTTGATAGTCTATTTATGCCATATATAAGGGCCCTTAAATTTGCCCCTAGTTTTTCCTTGAGGAACTATATAGTTTTAGGTTTCATATTTAAGTTTTTAATCCATCTGGAGTTTGTATTGTGTATGGTGTAGGAACAGATCTTGATTCATTTTTCTGCAAAGGGATATCCAGCTTTGCCAGCACCATTTAGTAAACAAACATTCTCTTCATTTAATGCATTTAGGACCTCTGTCAAAGTTCAGCTGACCATAAGTCAATGGATCCATTTCTGGGTTCTCAATTCTATTCCATTGGTCTATGTATTTGTCATTGTACCAATACTGTGGCTGTATAGTAGGTTTTGAGATCTGGCAGTGTGAGACCTCCTACTTTGTTCTTCTTCTTCAATAGTGCTTTGCTTATCTGAGGTCTCTTTCC